TGCATAATCACTTCGTTTGCTGCAGAGGTATAGTTACAAAGTACATTAATTTTGTTACAGTATTTAGGTACTTTTTTGAGGATCTGTAATTTTACAAACTAACCTATTTTTTTCATCATAACTTTCACTATTTGTTTGTCGCATTCAAAACATAAAAATGATACTGTAGGCCTACATACTTCTTTACTTTAAAATATGACACCTCATTATGTGCTACAAATTTGAACATGACTGTGATCATAAAAGAAGTTGTTCATGCACTCTAAAGAAAAAAGTGTCATATTCACTTAACTAAGTTACATCAACTGGTTCCACTAAACTCAGTTGAATAAATTTCTTTATATTTGCAAGAAATGGGGGGACTGGTCTTTGTTACTGGCCCAACAGTGTGGAATCATCTTCCTCATGAGTTGAGTGCCATCTCTGACCTTGTTCTGTTCAAAGCTAAACTTAAGACCTATTTATTTAAAAGGGCTTTTGGTGTTAAATGCTTAGCATTGTATACCTTTGTAGCCCTCTTTTATTGTAGTTGTGTTTTTAACTTGTACTGATATATTGTGATTTGCTTTATTTTGTGAAGCACTATGGTCGATGCAGGGCATTGTTGGAAGGTGCTATATATCCATACATCCATTATGTATACCTGCTTATTCCTTTCAGGGTCACAGGGGTCACTGGTGCTCATATCCAGCAGCCACAGTGCGAGGGGCGGGGTACACCCTGGACGGGTCACAAGTCCATCACAGGGACACACACAGAGACCAACAACCATTCACTCTCTCACTCACACCCAGGGACAATTTAGAGTTATTAATTAGTCTAACAGTCATGTCCATGGCACGAAATGGGGAGAAAACCCACACATGTACAGAACATGAAAATTAGAAAGATCTCCAGCCCAGGATTCAATTCAGCCTTCTTGCTGAGAGGCTTCAGTTTTACCAACTGAGCCACTAATATGAAGTCTTGACAAATATAAATAAATAAATTACATTATTATAAATAAAGAAATCTTTTTAAAAATATTAATCTTCAATTTTGCTAAAAAATCTGTCAGAGAAACAGTAAGGTTTTTTTTAGTTTTTCTTTAGTTCTCTTTGTGATAAACAGTTTACAGTTTGTTTTACTCATCTTGTCTTTCATTGTTTATTGTTCATTGTTTATTCTTTTGTTTGATTACTAAAGGACCAGACCGAGATAGTCAAAGGACCACTTCAGACCCCCCAGGCACCTATTCTGCCCACATGTGGTTTTAAGACCAAAAGAAAACAAAAAGACACAGCTGACATCTGGGTTTATTTGTGAATTTGGACACACATATAAAAAGAAAGGCTCAATTTCATTATCATCATCACATCCAAATAAATAGCTTACTCACATATAAAGATTTGATCATACAGTGGATTTAAAAATGTAAAATATTCTCAAGTAGTCAGTTTTGTAGCATTATTTAGAAATAAGTGTCATAATTGTCTTAAAGCCCTGGTGAGATGGTGGGACTCCAGCAACAACAAAGCATCAAATATTATTCTGATCATTATTAAAACACATTTTAATCACAATGCCTCAAAGAGAATTGATATATTTATAATTTTTTTCTGCACACACCGTCAGTGCTTCCACCCTGTGTGTCACAAATAAGAGGCGGAGAAGCAGGTGATGGGGAGGCAGAGCAGAGAGCGGTACGTCGGGTGCAGAGGCCGGACTTGACCCGGAAGAGGTTTGTAGGACCTCCAGTCTGAACCACTTCCTGGTTTACTGCACAGAGTCACCTCACACCTGAACAAACRTAAAAACAGAGACGTGGCACACGGTTCCTGACTGCGCCACACGTGTTGATGTATTTTTAGTGAATATCTTCTTACCTTGTGACACTTTGGATGAATGTTTTTTGGTCCTGATCCAGACAAATGGCAAAAGTCTCCCCCGCTTCCTGAGCTTTCACCTGCACCTTATCCACCTTCATCTTTGAAATCACAATTTGCTGCAAACAGAAGAGCACGAGTGATGCTAAAGAAGTTTTTCTCTTTTTGTGCTTTAGTCAGAGTTTAAAAGAACAACCTCCCTCACCTGGTTGTAACCCTTTTTGGACTTGGGGCACTGCCGTTTCACAACTTCTGTCAGTGTCAGCTGCAGGCTCTCCTGTGAATCTGGATGAAACACAAAGAAAGACAAGAAATGATTATGATTTTCTTTATGTGGGACCACAAAGTCTTTTGTTCCCTGATTCCCTCATTTCTAAAACTGTTCCAGATTTTAACTGTAAACCTGGCAGCACAGATAGTTGTCCTCTGCTTTGGAGTCGTAATATTTAAGTTTATCTTCCTCTTAAGAGCACCCACAAGAATGATACATTGAGTGGATTTCATATATTATGCTTTGCTCCTTGTGTCATATCTTACAGTAAATGACTGCATTTTGACCATCAAGTACACACTTTGTGTCGTTTTTAATCTGGCTGTATTGTAGACTCTGGTAACACTGTTGTTTTATTTATTTATTTATTTATTTGTTTGTTATTTATTTATTTATGGATTGGTGTAACTTTTGAAACAATTGACCCACAGATGGTTCTCCCACTCTTTGAGCTGTGAGAAAGCAGCTGGCTGAAAACTGAGTCAGTACTCTGCTACTGTACATTGGTGTCCCACAGGGCTCCATTCAAGGTCCCCCTTTTATGTGTGTATGCTGCCTATGGGGTCAGCCTTTATTAAATGCAAAATTGCCTTTTACTGCTTTTCAGATGCCCTGTGATGGACTTGCGACCAGTACCCCAGCGCTCACAGTGACTGCTGGATATGAGCACTAGTGACCCCTGTGGCCCGTCAGGTAAGGATAATAGATACAAATGGATGCTTTGCAGACATTTCCCCCTCTAAAAATAAATAAAGCATCACAACTCTGCAAAACTGTCCAAACAACCTTCAGTCATGGATGGAACTGATTTTCCTGAGCCTCGATCAAAATAAAACAGAGATTATTATCCATCCATCCATCCATCCATCCATCCATCCATCCATCCATCCATCCATCCATCCATCCATCCATCCATCCATCCATCCATCCATCCA